TTTTTACTACTAAAAATTACAAAATAATTATTTAAATATAATGTTACTTTGTTAAATCTCTCGACTATTAAAAGTTACTATTTATTATGTTCCAAACTCGTCATTTTTCATTAAAAAATTAACGGTTGTGGACGTTAACATGCTGGTTGTGATATGATAGTCGTTTGAAATTCTGAAATCAATTTATCATATCACAGTCAACATGTTAACGTTTAACTCATAATATCGTTCATTATTTAATGGAAAATGATGAGTTTAGAATATAATAAATAATCAAATGATCATTTTATAATTTTTAATAATTGAAGAACTTAATAAAAATACCCTATTTTAAAGCATTGAAAAGAATAATGATACCTTTTCACTGATAATTTCTTGAACAATGAGAGTACGTTGGAAACGCTGGTGACTATTTCAGATGTGCTGGTTACATTCAAATCAAAGTAGCCTACGTCTTGCCTTAGGACAGCTTTCAAGTACCTACTGCTCATCCTTGTGGCTTGTCTTTCACTTGTTCTTGTCCAACAAACCCTTCTGATAATGGTTAGATTGTCAGTTTCCGTAATAAACACGGTTTAAAGCCATAAAATAACACATGTCATATAATCCTGATTGAAGTAGATTTTATAATATGATGTATATCGCATATTTAAAATATGACATATAACGTATCATATCATCGTTGTTGACACGTTAAACTCACTACATCATTGATAAATATTAACTGTTAATCAGTGATGATTTAGCAATGAGTATTATGCTCCAAAATGCTTAAAAAACAAAGATACAACGACCATGAACTCACCCAGGAAACACCCAATCCATCCCCACAAGCCGTCGAAACCACTAGCAGTGCAACCTGTTAGCCTCAAAAATCAAACCCGAAGAATCTTATATAAGTATAGAAACGATATGAGTATAGAAACGATATGATCAGTAGAGAAACGAGTCTGTCAAGGACATTAACGTACCTGCCGAACGTTGCGGGTGAGCAAATCAGCGGAATCGGAACCGCCGATGTTGTTAAACAAGCGGCCAATCAAATATAAATTAAGGGTGCAACCGTGCCGTCGGCAACCGATCCGATGAGACCGGCAGCCATCAAACACTTATCCACGCCATCTGCATGCATGAATATGGATCGTATCGACCACTTCTTCTTCACAGGGCTGTTTTCAACTTCTTTAACACTCTTTCTCTCTTCTTCCATGGCGATCCCTTGGTTTTTTTCCCCTTCAATTATCAGAGCTAATCAGTTTATATTTAAAAGCAGATGACGCCAGGTTCAGGAAAATAAGAAGAAAACGATGGGTTATAGATCTGTCCATTTGTTAATGAGTAATGACAACCGCAATAAGATGAAAGCGTCATGCAAGAGCTAAGCAGATGGTTGACTCCCTTTGGAAGATAGCATCTGATTATAATAATAAAATGAGATGACTATCCAGCTTAGTTGATAGAGCACAAGGTTCTTAACCTTGAGGTCGTATCGAGTCTTACGGAAGACATTTCATAATTCGGATATTTCTACGGAGGGCATTTCATAATAAAAGTTGATTCATCATTCATGTGCTCCAGTATATCATATATTTATATTTTTTTTGTAAAAAATGGGTCCTTGTACTTTTGAAAGAAAATCAATGTGACTCTTTGACCAACGTTTTTTGTCGCCCGACTATTATGGTGGTAATGTGACAATTTATGGTGTTGACGTGGTGATCCTCGGTTCTGACATAGTAGTTCATCTGTCATTTTTGAGTCACCAATTTAACTTATCTGTCTTGCTATCAGGCACAATATCAACCACTGTGAACCACCATGTTAATATCGTGAACTATCACCTCAGTACCGTAACTGTCAACGACGAATTTTTATTTATTAAAGAGTCACATTTAACTCATTTTTTGAGTTAGAATATTACATTGATGAAAAAATAATACGATAAACATTTTTAAATACCTATTTTCATCTTATTATAGTTTTATAAATTTATCACTTTTTAAAATTTTGAAACTCCTTTGCGCTAATATAAAATTATAATCTCATGAATATGCTCCATGTCCATGTTTAATATATCTGGCTCGATATCCCATTTATAATAAAAAGTTAAATCACACATTTAGTAATTAAACTATTAGTTCTAGTTTGTTTTAGTACTTAAACTTTAATTTTTTATAAAATTATATCTAGAGTTTAATTTTTATTTCATTTTAATATTCCACTCTTTAAAAATTTAACGTGTTTAATAATTAAATTATTAATTTTATTCATTTTAAATATAAACGTGACATCTGTGACGTATCGATTTACTTGTAGGAACCAGACGCAAACCCCATGTGCATGCTCTCATCAATGTACGTCTCCCCTTGTTCATTTTTTGGGGTAAGTGTACGTAGATATAATGAATAATTTTAACGATAAATTTATAAAATTTTAAGAGTAAAAATAAATAAATAATATTTTTAAATTATATGATAATTTAAAAATAGACTATTCTATTAATTACATCTCAATTCATCTATAGGCGAGGTTACAAATGAGTCGATGGTTAACGATATTCAAGAGAAGATAAGCATGGAAGTGTGTCGTTAGAATAAAAAACTCATGCTGCTTTTCGAGTCTTTGACATGTGGTACCAACTGATTTGAGAGTTATTTTTATTTTAATTTATTAAAAAGATAAACTATGCCGATTGTTCCTTTTGTATTTTGTTTGACCGCCTTTGATCATCGAAAAAATTAAGGGGAAATGATATCTTACGTTATCGGTCCGTCTGGTTTAAGTCCCTCTGGTATTAATTTTGTTTAATCCCTTTTATTTTAAGCCCCTTTTGTTTAAGTCATTAACATGGTTAAAGGACTAAAATGGAACGAACATATAATGTTAGAGACTTGAATCGGACGGACCAATAACTGTAGTGACCATTTCCCCTTAATTTTTTTTTCGGTGACCAAAATCAATCATACCCAAAACATAGGGGACTATCGACATATTTACCCAATTTTTAACTACAAATATATGTTCATATTTTATCTCAAGGTTTGAACTTCAAAATGTAGGTTAAAAATATACATCCAACAGATATTATAATAGGAAAACATATTTAATTAAAAAATAACTTAAAATAAAAATATTTGTAGTGGGTTTAGACCGGGGATTCAAATAGCGATCGCAATCGCATCGCATTTGTCACGATTGCGGATATAACGAGCGCTATTATGGAAATTATAGGTATCACAGTCATATAATAGTAGTCACGGAGGACACCAATCCCGCTATATCGCGGACACTATCGCAATCGCGGACCGCTAGTAAATCTCTGGTTTGGACTCACAATCAATGACTATTAATATAAACTTTAATCACCTACTTCAATTAAAGTATTTTAATCTACTAACTGAATGTGTCATGTATTAAAAGAATACCATCAATGAGATATGTATTTATTGAATTTAAGATATTCTGGTAGTAACAAATAAATATATATATATTTAAATAAACAGCAAACATCATGGGGGGAGGTAAGCAATATGTTTGACTTGGATTGATAAAAGATAGTTAAGTGCATCGTATGTTTTTAAAGTATGTCTCTCATTTTAAATTGATTATTAAACTTTTAAATGTTTCAATTTCACCCCTAAATCATGTCTATCATTTTAAATTAGTCCTCAAGCTTTTGAACATTTTATTTTCAACCCCAAACTGTGACATTAATTCTAAATTGGCCCCTAAACTTTTTTTAACATTCCAATTCCATCCCAAACTATACGCATATACTAATTACATCTCTTGTTAATAAAATCGTTAGGCAAATTTATATAAGTATATGTTTGGGAAAAAAATAAATTTTAGATTAAAATATGGTTTAAACTAATTATATATATGGAATTGGAATATTCAAAAGTTTGGGAACCAGGGTCATAGTTCAAGGAAAAATTAGAATGTTCAAAAGTTTAATACTAATTTAGTATGAGTCATAGTTGGGAAATTGAAATATTAAAAAAATTTAAGGATCAATTTAAATTGGAAATTTAAGTTTGAGGATATATGATGTAATTAACTCATAAAATATCTATTTTATATTATTAAATATCAACTATTCTTCCTGAGAAAAGAGGGGGGAAATATTTGATGGTTAGCATTCGATTATATTAAATATAAATTAAATATTACCAACAATATCTATTTTATGTTATCATCTGACCTCTTTGGTTAAAGTCTAGATCTAGCTTGGCTGGACAGCTCATTCATTATTAAAAATGGACTAATTTTATATTGATATAAATATATATTATAATTATTTTTTAATAGTATGAAATGATTATAATGAAGTATATATTGATTTTTTTATAATTTGTAAATAATATATATTCTAATTTATCAAATTGTTCTCTCTTGATGTCCCGAGTTTGAGTAATTATGTTTATAAAATATATATTATTAATGATTAAGAAAAATTATAAATATATACTATCTTTTGGTCATCCATATGTCCAATAAATTAGTAGACAATGAGAATAGATTACCTTAAGCTTCATTCGAGCGATAGAGGTTGTTTTTTTCGAAGATATCATAATGGCAAACGATTGAGATCTGAATTTTAACAATTGTAAAAGAAAAAAATTTGAATTGTGAGGATCACTTTATAATAGATTTTTATAAACATTATTTGTATTAATCAGTAATTGATTGAATATCAGTAAATGATTTTAATTGATAAACAATTCTTCATTTGACTCACCAGCATAGCTGATTGTAGAACAGGCAAAAACCCTATAACTTTATGTTATTATATCACATATATATATATATATATATATATATATATATATATATATATAGTATATGAGTATAAACGCCATTCAAATTGGAATTAATTGGCACCGTATCATTATAAATATTTAAAATTAAATTTAAACAATTCTTGAACAACTCAATTCAAAAAATTTCAAATAAAGTTTGAGTTAAAAATAGGATTAGGATTCGTCAATTCGACAAACTCAAAATTTTTTACTCGACTCGATTAGATATTCACCCGTATCACCAGTGATCTCTCCACTTAAAGGCTTCACTTGAGTATCATTCTTTGCTCTCTTCAGCTTATAACGTTCTTGAGTTAGTTCCACTCTAAGATCTGTTATAACATCCTCTGCTTCATGCAGCTTTTCTTCGAGCTCATCGATCTTTCGCTTCTGGTTCATGGATGTGGTCTCCGATTCAACTGTCTGGAAGGAAGGAATTATGCTGCTATGCTCTTATTTTTCTTGAAGTATACATGTCTAACGAATATTCCGGAACAAATCTAGGGATATGATGTTTCAAATATCCTTTCAATATATGTAAAACAATTGACATGTAGGATGTTTAAAAGTGGTAGGATCTGTTCTGAAGATTATCAATCATTTGACAATGAACGTTCAAATATCTTATAGCTTTGGTGTTCGAATTTGAGAAGTCTAGGAATAACAACAATTCTTTTAACTACTGAAATAACTTCGTGCATGCATCTAAATAACTGTCTATAAGTGTGCATGAGTTTAACTAAAATTAACATAGGACACGAATACTTTGATCTTGATGTGATCATGAGTAGCAAATGCAAAACTTGGTCTAGCATAGGGTTGAAAGTCACATGTTTGTTCACTTTTTGAAGTTCTTTGATGTGCTGTACTAAATTTGAATTAATATATGTCATGTACATATTATGACGAGTACTCTAGGAAACGAATAGCTCGTATAATTGCATCAATTGTGGAACAATTTGACATTTGCTTCTAGAAATCAAACGAAGATTAACCTTATACTAGGAAGTAGGAATTCTTCAAAAATCTTCAATTTATGTTCACCAAATATATCAAAACGGATCCCATGTGTGATTTCAAAGAGTCCCAATACCATCCAATAAGTGAAGAACATGAAATCAAACATGACATTTTAAAATAGGGTATATTTCATACCTAAACTATTAGTTTTGATCCATTTAATACATAAACTTTCAAAATTTTTTAGAATTTAGCGTTGAATTTTTAACATGGTATTAAAATGAAATAAAAAACTAAACATTAAGTGTGATTTTGAAGAAAGTAAAAGTTTAAGTACTAAAACAGACCAAAATTAATAATTTAGGTACTAAACGCTAGTTTATCCAAAAAAATATATCCGGAATCAAATCTAGGAAAATTAAACAGTTCATAGCAGACAAATAAGATTAGTTTTGTCGACTTCCGTAAGATTCTTAATATTCGGAAACGTGATCTCTAACACAATCGCATTCACACAAAAAAATTCAAGCAATTGACCTCAATTGATCTCTAAAGATATAGGATGTACCTTGACGTCGATCATGCGTTTTAGCAGAAGAAGCAAACGAAGTGACTCCTCATTGATACGATTCAGTTGGTACTGAAATGACGCCGCTCTTTTCTCCGAATCTATCAGTCTCGATGCCGCTTCCTTGGTCGTGTTCCGTATAACCTCCGCGTACGCCGCCTTCAACGCAGTCGTTTTCTAGAACAAAACATCACATTTCGTAAATCAAACAACTAAAGAACAGAAGAAGGAGAACAACTAAACGTCGGAATGAATTTGTAGCTTCGTAACTTACATCTGGATCTCCCATGCCGATTTGAGAGCTGAGGCTACTCCCAGTTCTCAGAATTTGAAATTAATCGTTTGGGCGGGCTTTGTAGGGAGCTGAAAGAGGAGGTTAACTGAAAATGGAATTCGAAAAGACGGGTTGCCCTTAGTTTGAGTTTTACTTACAAAGGAGGGAAAAGAGATAAATACCGGGTAAACTATACGAATAGTCCCCATTATTTTCTGTGTGATCGACTTGATCACCGATTCAAAAATTAAGTATGTTTAATCTATTATATTACAGTCCGTTCAGTTAAGTTCTCAGCTGTTAACTTCTGTTAACCCATTAACATAAATTTTACGTGGTAAATTATGCATTTGTATTTAGTAGGCTAACATGAATTAACAAAAGAGATTGAAATCGAGAGGATCGATAACATAAGGAATCAAATCTATTTAATTTTTAAATCGATGACTAAAATCGATCAGACAAAAAACAAAGATGACTATCATATAGTTTACCCGATAAATATCTGCCAAGAGTGTATTGAGTCGTTGCTCGTTAGGTGAATGTGGACCCCATGTTTTTGTACTTTGTATTTAAATTAGGTAAATTACACATTTTTATTAATGGGTTAACTGAGTTAACATAAAGAGATTAAAATCGAATGTATCAATAATAAAATAGATCAAATCTACTTAATTTTTGAATCTGTGATTAAAATTAATAGACTGAAAACAAATGATTATTCATATAATTTACCCGATAAATATCTGTTAGGTGAATGTGGACCCCACGTTTCTTTAATATTTTTGACAACGAGCCTAACTCGAAAGGAATAAACGATTGCATTTTGTATTTAAATAGGGTAAGTTAGCGTTGTGAATTTAAAGTATCCGTTTTTATTAGTTTTAATAATTAAAATTTTATTTTTTTAAATAATACTTTAAGTTTAATTTTTTGTTTCATTTTAGTATCCGTCATTAAAAGCTTTAGCGTTTAATTTTTGTTTCATTTTAGTATCCGTCATTAAAAGCTTTAGCTTTATTTTATTTTAATACATATTTAAATTTAGCGTTAAGTTTTGAAAAGATTAAAAGTTTAGGTACTAAACACGTTAATTTTTAACGACGGTTACTACAATAAAATGAAAACTAGGCATTCCGTATGAATTTGAAAAAGTTAAAAGTTTATGTATTAAAACGAACCAAAACCGATAGCATATATATGCATTTCACAGTAAAAATTACTGCAGTGTGTGTATTAAGCAGAATTATAACATCAACATATACAGCTACAAAATTGTCAACCATGGTTCTATAAAATGCTGGACACTGCTTGGGAAATAGCTTTATAGGAGGCATACCTTACAACTCTTCCTACAGTACCCGGAATGCTCTTCGGAACCCACCATGTAAACCGGGTTCCTTTCGCACTCACCGGCCATAGCCCAGGCAGGGCAGTTCTCGTCCTCATCGACACAATCTCCGGTGTGGCTCGCCGAGTTATCGAAGGACTGGACATGGATCCACTTCGTTGCGGACCATTTCTCGCCCTTTATCACTGGGCAGCTTCCATGCAAACTTCTGGGATCAGTAGTTGCATTGGGATGAAGACTGAAGAACAGCAATGCATCACCCTTTTCGGGTTTCACTGGAAGTATAAGCAGTAGATTGAATCAGATACGGGTAACTACATGATGGGATTACTAATGCAACGATTCATCCAAGAATGATTAGATAAGAACATTATACAGAAGTAGTAACGTTAGCGGAATTATCGGGAACGAAAGAGAACTAGCCGATCATCGAAGCGAGACGATATGCAATGATGAACAATGTTATCCCACTGCTGTGTCCAAGATGATCAAGATCAAAATACCTCCTAATTCAATAAATGACCAGAATAATACCTGCATATCCCTTCCTTGCACAATCTGAGCTTTCGCTTGGACTGAGCAAGTTTACGCTATGGAAGACAAATGATGAGCAACCAACGAAATGTAACTAGGGTGAGCATTCGATCGAGTCGAGTCAAAAAAATTGAGTTATTTGAGTTGACTAGTTGTATTTTACAACTCGAAGTTAACTTGAAATTTTTTCGAGTCGAGATAAGTTTAAAAAATTTGAGTCGAGTTGTTCGAGTTTCTATACAAATTTAATTGTAATTATTTATGATATTATAGTACGAATTTATTCCAATTTTTCGACCTTTTCTAACAATATAAGGCATATATATATAAACTTCATATTCTTTTCACATTACAATGTTATTTAATATATCACATACAATCTAAAATTATAAAAATATATTTTAGTAAAATATAAAATTAAAGGACTAAACTAAAAAGAGAGAGTATTTTAGTAAAAAAATAAAGAATTGAAGTTACAAGTATTCTAGTGGTAGGAGCATGTGGTTTAAAATTAAGGATGAATTGAAGAAATATGTAAATCATACAAAATTGAGGGATTAAATTGAAAAAATAGAAAATAGGCTATAAAAAAGTAAAATTGAAAGTAAATATGCATTTTATGATGGCTTAGGAGCATGCAATTCAACTTTGGTAAAATTTTGATTTAAAATGACAGAGGAATTGAAGGAATAGAAATCAGGGATCAAATCACAAATATGTCAAAATCCTCATCTAAATTTTAGATTTTTCAAGTTACCCCAAATTTTGAAATTTCAAGTTGACTCGAACTCGAAAATCGAATTAATAATTCGAGTTGACTCATATAACTCGAATAACTAAAAATTAAAAAAAACCGAATGAGTTTTGTTCACCCCTAAATGTAACAATGGCAGTAACAATGGCAGGATAGGATGAAAGCAAACATAAATAAAAGAAACAACAGACAGACGGAAAACGGGATTCGCCGGCAAATGTTACCTCGGAATTCGGAAACACAGTTTCCCCGCCACTCTCGACGTCGGACAAGTACATCAGCACAGTGGCAATACGGTGACCAGCCAACTCTAGGTTAACCTTGTCATAGAAATAATCAACATGTGGTTCATATTTGACCATGTTCATAGTGCAGTATCTGCAGGGTTCCCCGTTCTCTGTTCACAATGCCGTGTTCAACGAAATGAGAGAATTCCCCCCGATTGAATTAAGAACATAAGAGTAACAACGAGCATGTAAACGAGAAAAAGTACCGACTGGAAGGAAGGTCCATGTCGCGATCCTTCCTTCGATATCAGCAACTACCTCATCCTTCATACGAGAAACAAAAGGATCCAAGGTCAAGACTCAAGAATCAGCACAGGCTATGCTGCAATGCTTTCCAAACATGATCCATACCATATAAATAAGCAATCCTAAGTTCATAACCACAACAGTTAGGATACAATAAACGACCTCTAAACTTAATGAAACACACAACAAAGCCTACACATGATTGAATCTGCAACAACAACGAATATGGCATGGATTTGGAAAGGCTTGAATCAACAAAACCAACATGAATAACTAACAAGTAACATTCTTTTAAATAGTCTTTCCGATAACGAAACAGCTTCTTTCGGCAAAGAACTGGCCCTCGGATTAAGTTTGGACGAATCATGAATGAAAGCACAATGCATCATCATTAGGCCGGTATACGAAGCGAACTAACACGAACGAGAGTGTGTTTAGCTTCGTTCGTTTAACTTTACATCGGACATGAACAACTAAACCAACGGAATTTCTTGTTCGTTTTCGTTCGTTAAGATGATAAACGAACACAAATAAAGGAAAGTAAACGAGCATAAACAAACAAATGTAAAATTAATTGGGGTTTTATATTTGAGAAAAGTTTTTTCTTTTCAAATAATTTTATGGTTTTATATTTTCTTTAATTGATTTGGTTATTTTTTATTTGCGTTTAAAATTAATTAGATTTTAAAATATTAACGGGTTTAATGTTAAAATTTATTAGGTCTTAATATTTTAAACGGATTTGAAGATTGAGCTGAATATAAATGAAAAAACATAAACGAACTAACATAAATAAATGAACAAACATAAACGAATGTATTACCGAACAAGCAAGCCTTCTATTTGTGTTCATTTATTTAATTAAACGAACATAAAGTTTTGTTTTTGTTTGTTCGTTTATTAAATAAATGAACTCCCGCCCAACAATTCGTTGAACGTCAATTCATATACAGGCCTAATCATCAGTGACATTTCGGAATACAACCGCTTTCAGGGCTAACAAAATCAGAATACAACTTTAGTATAACATCAAACACTTGGCATGCTACCAAATACCAATTAAGTGATCAAAAAGTCACAAGCACACCCACAAATTTCAGTTCACATCCGATGCATGTTCTCAAAAACACAAACGACTAAAATGATTGTGGTTATAATTCGACAATTCGAGTCGTTGATTCAGCTTTTCTCTCTTAGATCAACTTATATGCAGCTAATTCCACAGCTCAAAAAGAAATGAAAGGTAATTCAATTTATACCTGAGCCATGTGAAGAAACATGCCGGAGCTGGTTCGATCTTCACTTTCATTACTCTGACCTAATTCATTATCCACCACCATCGACTTCTCTAACTTACCCTTAGCCTGGAATCAATACAATTCTTCAATAAGTCGAAACTCTTTACAAATTAGGAAGAGAAAGAAGATTGTTGCTTACCAGAATAATAAGGTGATCCATTCCTCACTCGACAAAAATCCTTTGTAAATAAAAGCTCTGAGAGAACAGATAAAAGGTTTTCGTAATTTCCAAAATCTTCAATGAATCAAAGTGCGAGAGTTCCTAGGGTGCCATGAGAGTTGAGTGACGCGAGTGGGATCAAACTGAAGAGAATAAGCTGCTCTTTTCGTTTTGAGCACCGATCCGTTCGAGAAAATGCCGTGAATCCATGAAAAAACGAAAAACTATTTTTTTGGGTCCAATCACGTTAAGGAAATGGTTTGTTTTTCAACCATTTGTTCATTTGTCTTCCATTTAAGAGTGAATTGAATGGGCGGCCATGGATTTGGCCACAGAATTTAATGTTAAACATGACTTCAAAAAAAAGCACACTGACAAAATTAGTACGTACATTTGTCTATTATCATTTTAGCCCTAATTTTAGATAAATTATACGTTTAGTATATACTATCGATTTTGGTCTATTTTAATAGCTAAACTTTTATTTTTTTCAAATCATAACGTAGACACCTATTTTTGTCCGGTCAACTTAATTCAAATGATAAGAAAATACGAGTTTAATGCTAATCAGAATATCCTCTTTTTGATTTCTTTCTATTTCTCATGTAATCTCCTATCTATCGAATGTATTGATAGGATTGATGTAATTTCCTAAATTGGGAGATAGGGTTTATTTATTGATTGCATGGCATCTTATTTAATTGCAAAGCATAATAGTCTAATCCACATCACTCAACCTTTTTCATAATGAATTAGATGCAATGTTTTGTTTATTTTAAATTATCTAAGAGAGTTATCTTAATCCACCTGAGTAGTTTAACTCGGTAATTTAAAATAAACCAGTACCCTTAGTGGAAACATTTAAAAAATAATAACATTTTAAAATTAATCAAGAGGGTAGAACGAGAAATGTTATTGTATTTAGATTTAACGAGGATGAGTCATTCGACCCTATTCGTGGTTTAGACTCAGTATTTATAAATATTTGAGCATTCTCTATCTATCTTAATGGTCGGGTAATTTTTAAAATAAAATGTTTGTTTGTTGCATAACGTTAGATAAATAAATACAATGATTATAACATTTCTTATTTCTTTCTAAATAAGGGAAAATTGTCACTCTACCTTATATTAGGTGGTATTTTCATTTGGTTTGAAATGATGAAATGTTAACGATTTAACATAAAATTTTCGAGAAGAAAATTAGTGATTCGCTGCTTTAATTGGAAATGAGAGGGATGTCACTCTACCTTTTATTAGGTGGTTAACTTTCTCCGGTTAAATGCATGAATCGTTAATTTTTTTCTCTAAAATTTTAATTAGTTAAATAGCATTGTATTTGTTTAATTAAAAACGGACCATGAATTATTGTGGGGGTGCTAATCCTTTTTCACATGTAATCGACTCCCATATTTGTTTTTTGAACATAAATCTAAAAGTTGTTTTAATAATTTTTTGGTAAACTACATGGTTTACCGCTCAACTATGGTCAAAAATCATTTTGACTATCGATTTTTTCAATTTGATCAAAGAGGCCATCAAACTATTTAAATATTTCAATCAAACCACTGACTGGTCTGTTAACTTTTAACGGTGGAGGTGACGTGAACATTTAACCAAGAGAATGTCGTCGCAGTTAATTTTTTTGTGTAATTATATATTTGGTCTTCGTTACTTACTTAAAATGTCAATTTGATCCTAATTTTAATTAAATTTTTATTTATTCATTAAATTTAGTTTCCTCCAACACATGTCAATGTCACCTTTGAATACAAGAAACAAATTAATGAGAGTTGAAATTTGGGGAGAATGAACCAGGGTAAGTATGGATGCCAAGCAAGAGTACAGCCACATGACTAGAGTATTGAATGGCTATGCTTTACAACAGATAGTATATATATTGATATAGATCTTTAATTATAACATTTTATATATTTAATTTAAATTTATATCATGTTTTAAAACATATATTTTATTTTCTATCTAACTTATTAAATATATTTTATTTTTATTTTAAAATATATTTTATTCTTATATTAACTTTAAAAATATATTTTATTTTTATTACCTTAAAAAATTTTTGTTATTAACTTATCTTCAAATGATATATATTTTCTTTTATACACTTAATTTAATAATAAAATATATTTTAAGTTAATAAAAGATGTGTATATATATATATTATTTATTTATAGTTAAGATAATAACAAATATATTTTATCTATTGTAAATTATAAACAATTCAACACCCTAGCCTTAGTGGTTGGTCACGTACTTAGCATCTAAAGCGTCCCTGGATTGATTTCCCAAAAGCCACTCATTAATTTGTTTTCTTGTAATAGGATGACATGTGTCACTCTTTAATTGGAGAAAACTAAATTTAATGAATTAAGTAAATTATAAATGAATTTAGGATTAAATTTAATGAATTTAATTAAAATTAAGATTAAATTGATATCGTTTATAAGTAATAAGGATCACCTCACCTCCACCATTAAAAGTTAGCATCAATGGATTGATTTAAGCGTTTAAATAGTTTGATGGTCTGCTTAATCAAATTGAAACATTTGTGGTCAAAATGATTTTGGACCATAGTTTAGTTGTTACCCATTCGGTTTACTCATAATTTTTTAAAATTAAATTTTATTAAAATGTCAATATATTTTTGGTTGAATCAATCACATCCAAACAAATGTTGGTGATGACTTCTTCAAACCATATTTTTTTAAAAAAGAAAAATCTGATTTTAGTCCCCAAAATTAATTTTTCAAGACATTACTATACATACCTAATATTTAATTATATATTAATAAAATAATAATAATAAATATGTCATGTCACAAAAAATATTAATAAAATAAATTAGGATGATTAAATATGGAGTAATTTGAAAGTTAAATACTTAAATTAAAAAATTTAACTTTAGTGATCAAAATAGGAGTGAGAAGATAATTCAATGTTGAATGATACAATTTACCCATAAAAAAAATTTAACGGTGAGACTAAAAGGAAACAAATTTAGAAGGGGTTTTAGTGAGACTCATTTTTTTTTTAAAAAGTATGGTTTTGAAATAATTGAAAGTATGTATTAAAATGGTCCAAAACTAATAGTTTATATACTAAACACGTAATTTATCCTTTTTTTTTGAAACATTTTACCTACCGTTTCATTTTGAGACAAAATACTTTATGATTAAATGAAAACTTTTAATTAAAAAACGATCAATGTATCCTAAGTGTTAGCTAGGCATGTAAACGTACCGAACAAACATGGACGAGGGTATATTCATGTTCGTTCGTTGAATTTTAACCGAACAAACACGAACAACTAAATGAATGAAATTTCTTGTTCATGTTTGTTCATTAAAAAATTTAGCTTGTTTGTGCTCGTTAATGTTCATTCGTTTAAATGATTAACGAGCACAAACGAACTAACATAAATGAATAAACATAAAATTAATTGGGGTTTATATTTTTGAGAATATTTTATCTTTTTAAATAATTTTAGGATTTATATTTTTGAATTGATTTGAGTAATTTTTAATTTGGGTTTAAAATTGATTAAGTTTAAAATTATTAATGGGATTAAGGTTAAAATTTATTAAGTCTTTATATTTCAAACGGTTCTGGAAAACATAACGAACGAACATAAAAAATGGATTATCAAATGTTCGTGATTGAACGAGTCTTTTGTTCATTTTATTCATTTAATTAAATGAATATGAAATTTTATTCATGTTCGTTCATTTAATAAATAAATAAACTTCTCTCTGAATGATTCATTGAACGTTCGATTCGTTTACAAAGCACTCAAAACAACTTAAACTTACAACCTAAATGTATGAGCTGAAATCGAAAAGCCCCCCCCCCCCCAAAAAAAAAATTTGTTCGACCCGTTTTGAGTCATTCCGCAATTCACAACCCATTAGAATTACAAAGCCTCGAAACTCCGCCGCCTAAATCTAGGGTTTATTAAAGCCTCCCCAATTAGATCTATAAATAAGCAGGCGAACCCGATTCAAAGCCACCGCCATTGTCTTTCTATCTGCCCTTTCCAGTTCTCAAATCTGAGGTATTTGTGTCTTCTTTTCTCCATAGAATGCTTTTCTTCGTCATTATCATTTCGTTTTGTTCATCGATCATTTGATGAGAAGAAGAAAACTGTAACAATAATATTGGATATATATATATATATATATATATATATATATATATATATATATATATTCCATGATTACTTGTATTTAAGTCTCTGATGATCGTACTTTCTCCGAAATTCTGCATTTTTTCGTGATTTTGTTTCGGATTTCGAGATATGATGAGGCCTTTAATTGGTCCGTGTTTCTGATTTAACCGTGACCGAAAATTTATTTAACCAACCTCTGATCTCGAATCTCATTGTCGATTTCCTAAATTTCCTCAAAATAATTACGCTATGTTTTTTTAGTTTTCTGGGAAAGTGATGTGATTGGCTGTGATTATTAACCCTAATTTCATTTGTGAATTAAATGCTTCTGCTGTGATGAATTGTGAATAAAATTCACAAGTCAGACTTCAGAGATTTTTTTAGAAAATCTATGAGAAGAAAATTCATGTTTTCTGAGCGGAGTTTTGATTTTTTTAATGATTTTTTAAATGATTTTTTCATTGATTAAATAGTTTCCATTGCCTAATAACTTTCTGGGAAAATAACCTGCTATATTCTTGGCAACCGAGAAAGTGGTATGGAATTCTGCTTTTTTTTTTGAAATTTTTTAGAATTCGAGATATTATGAGGCTTTAATTGGTTTTGTTTCTGATTTAACCGTGACTAATATTTATTTTACCAATCTCGGATCTCGAATATGAATGGGTATGGATCGGATTGGATTGGATTGAATTTTTCGGACACTGTGACCTTATACACACTCTATTGCTTGAATACGATTTGAAAATTATATACCTTTCACTCAATTTGATCATGACTTGTCATTTTGAGATAAAACTTGAATTCTGATTTGATCCTATTTAAAATAATATATTTATAAAAAAAGATTTGAATTGATTTAATAGAAAATAAGGATTTAAATAAATATATATATATAGTGGTTTAATTGCAATTATTTTTAGAGAAAATAACCTCAGTGACCAAAAATCCCATATAATATATGATTTAACTAATTTTTTTCGGATTTGTCACAATGACCAACAAAATCGCAATGCGATCGTTAATTCGCAACGCGATCTCCATTATCGCAAATCAGTTTCTAGATTCACAATGCGATTATTACTATCGCAATGCGATTTTCCAATTTCGCGTTGCGATTTTCCCAATTCGCAATGCGAATAAGTAAATCGCAATGCGAATTTAGAAAATCGCAATGCGAATTTGGAAAATCGCAATGCGATACTGACTATCGCAACGCGATAATACAAAATCGCAACGCGATACTGACTTTCGCAACGCGATTCTGACTATCGCAACGAGATAATACAGAATCGCAATGCGATTTTCAAAGTTCGCAACATGTTTTAGTTTCGCAAGTCAAATTTTTTTGTGTATATATCTACGCAGCAGCAATAACTCATAACCTAAATTCCTAAATCGTAACTCATTCCATCTCCATCTATCACTCTCTTCGGCAACATCCGTTCCTATATCCAACGACATCCTTCCCCATCCGACAACAGATCTTAGTTTCGCAGCTCGTTTGTTTAGTAAATTAATTTACAACCATGAAATCATCTAATGTTGATCATGTTTGGATAGATTTGTGTTTTGGAGGGTCATGGGAGAATGTTCATGGTGTTTTACAATATATGCTTTTACCCATGAATCTTCAACTAAAAATGTCATTAAAAAAGTTAACTTATGAAACTCTAATGTTACGTGTTTCAAAGAAATTGAATTTAGAGCCCCTAAGTGGATTTAGGCTATCTTATCAGAGAAATAGTAAAGTTTATTTGTTAATCGACAATGAAGATGTTGAACGATTCATTGCTTACATTAGTGTTTCAAGTGATGATGTTACATTGTATGTTGTTGAACCTAGAAGTAGTATTGTTGGGTCAGTAGCGGATAGTAATCAACTAAGTTTTTCTCAAAACCCACAACCTTTCTCTAATCCAAATTCCAATCAACTTTCAGCACCAAATTTCGGTTTTCGTATTGACCAATTAGACGATGATGAGCCAACAGAAAAAATTGTGAGTGCTAGTCAGTATTCGAAATTTGATCTTGGTCAATACCCGGACTTTGATATTGGTCAATACTCGGATTTTGATGATATTTCAGAAGAAGAAACAGACCCTGTGTGTAATGATTTTGATATTGGTCAATACCCGAATTTTGATGATGAAACAGCCGTTGCCGAGGAAGATGTTGTTGATGATAATGAGGAGGAAGTTACGACTGTGAATGAACATGTTGAACATCCATTCTGTAATTCATATAATTCTAAAGAAGAAAAAGAAGAAGAAAAAGTCCCCGAAGAAAAGAAAATGCCACGGGAGTATAATTGGAATATGCTAGAATTACTTCAGCTACCGGAAGAAGAGTTGGTAAAGAAAGCAGTTGATTGTTACACAAAAGATTCGTATCAAGAAAGATGATTGTTTTGATACAAAGGAAGACTTGAAGATAGCTTTGTATACGAAATGTGTGGAAGATGGCTATCAACTAAAAGTTAACAAATCAAGCAAATATCGTTTCGAAACAAGGTGTATGATTTACAAAAACTGTACGTGGCGTATGATTGCAAAGAGGATAAAAGATTGCGAAATGTTTCAAGTTAGGACTTTTATTGATAAACATACATGTTTAAGAACCCAAGTTTTTCCTCACCATAGACAGGCAAACAAAAAGGTGTTGGGTGGTTTTCTGGATGAGTTAATGTTTTTGAATGGCAGGGTATATCGGGGACATGAAATTATGACTGACATGAATGCTCGGTTCAAGATTAGTATATCATATTCTCAAGCTTGGAGAGCCAAATGTTATGCCTTGGAATTGTTGAGGGGGTCGCCAGAAGCATCGTTTGCCCAACTGCCAGTTTATTGTCACAATTTAAAGCTGAAAATCATGGTCGGTAATCATATCAAAACAGATAGAGATGGACGCTTTGAGTTGCTGTTTATCGCCATTGGTGCTGCGGTTAGTAAATCAATATAATTCTGTTGACTCATTTTTGTTAGTTACATGCATTTCACATTTAAATGATTATATTTCTTGTGTATATTATTTTGTAGATTCGTTCGTTTATTACTTGCATGCGCCCAGTTATTATAGTTGACGGAGCACATTTGAAAGGTCGATACCTTGGAGTAAACTTATTAGCAGTAGCCATGGATGCTAACAATGGGATATTGCCAATAGCTTACGGGGTTGGCAAATCTGAAACCTCTGATTCATGGACATGGTTTATGGGGCATCTTAGGGATTGCATAGGTCATATTAGCAATCTGACAATCATATCCGATAGGGCAAACTCAATTGACAACGCTGTTAGAAGGTGTTTCCCAGATGCTTTTCATGGACTTTGTGGTGTTCATTTGTATAGAAATCTAAAATCAAGGTCTGTTGGTATAAAAAATCACAAATGGACATACTGGAAGGCTGTAAAAGCTTATCGGGAAGTGGATTTTAATAAGCATATAAACTGTTTAAGACGTGTTTTGCCTCAGTGTGCTCAAACACTAGAAGATGTCGGGTTTGAAAGATGGTCAAGAGTACATCAACTTGGAGCAAGATATGGTTTCATGACGTCTAATAGTGCAGAATCAATCAACGCTCTAAGTCGTCATTCCCGGAAATTACCCATTACTATGTTAATGGAGTTTTTTTGAGCCTCTATTCAACAGTGGTACTACAAGAAAAGAAACCATGCAGGTATTATTTCTTTAAATTCGTAACTTATCATATATTTTACTAAGTATTATTTATTTAAATTTACAGGAACATTGGAACATCGTGTTACACCATGGACAGAAAAAAAGATAACGAAAAGTGTTGTGAAGTCAACGTCATGGAGAGTTGAACCATGTTCAAACACTTTGTTTGAAGTACTGGATAATAACTTAAATGTGCTTGTCGATCTAAATGCAAAGACGTGTAGTTGTATGAAATGGCAAACATCTGGTTATCCATGTGGCCATGTTATAAAAGTTTCTCTTCATCTAAACCAAGATGATTCAAGCGCATACGCTATGGATTGCTACACTACAGAAGCATATCGACAGACTTATGGCGAGATTGTCTACCCTATTCCACATCCTTCTGAGTGGGACATACCAGATGACTTACAAATAGTTTTGCCACCAGCCATGGGCAGAAGGTTACCTGGCCGACCAAAAAGTCACGATCGTATACCGTCTAAGGGTGAAGAGAAGAAGAGATCGACATGTAGTCGGTGCAAGGAAAGTGGTCATACAAGGTTGACATGTGGATCACCAGTGCCATCACAATCATATTTTCCTCTACCAAAATATGGATCCTCATCAAAATCCAAAGCTCATATGGTGTCAAGAAAAAGGCAATCAAAATCGCAATCATCTTTAAAATCCCAATCACAACTGGCTTCACCTTTTGGGACTGTTAACTTAGGTGATTTTTAAATGCAAACGTTGTATTATGTAGATTTTATGTGTGAACTTTTAACATTTTCAGTTAGGCATGTATTAGTAACTTGAGTTTGAAAATTGCTATGATCTGTTCAGTTGTTATCACTTATTAGGCAATCATTTGACTATCGCAACACGAAAATGACGTTCGCAATCATATTAATGTCTATCGCAATGCGGAAATGACTATCGCAATGCGAAATGAAAATCGCAACGAGAGAATCGCAATGCGAAATGAAAATCGCAACGAGAGAATCGCAATGCGAAATGAAAATCGCAACGAGGGAATCGCAAAGCGAAATGAAAATCGCAACGCGAATTTAGTTTCGCGTTGCGATTTTAGTTTCGCGTTGCGATTTTCATTTCGCGTTGCGATTCTCTCGTTGCGATTTTCATTTCGCATTGCGATTCTCTCGTTGCGATTTTCATTTCGCATTGCGATAGTCATTTTTGCCTTCAACATAATACAGATTGAAATCAACAAAATCAACCATTACATTTCAATCAATTAAACAAGCACAAATAAGAATTATGTTCACATCAATTAAACAAATCAACTTTTACAAATCATCTTTTACAAATCAATTAAACAATCAAAAAATAAGCAATAATTCTTATTTCCTCATCTACTATTGAATCAACTTTTGCAGCCATACATCATTTTCACGCAGCTCACTTCTGAGATTAACCTGCATAAACCAAACATTTGCTCAAACAACACTTTCTACACATCTAAAACTTACAAACAACAAATTATTGAATTCTAGGTACTTAACCAAACATTTTCAAGCCACAAGCCTATAAACTTACCAATTGTTTATGGACATTTTTATAACGCGGATGCAGATAGGCAGCGTCTCGTATATATCGATCTAGCCATATAATGCCGAAACCACAAGCCTACTGCAGCTCTATCTCTATCGGTGGGAGGTAGATACTTTATACTTCTTGTGATCAAACGCTCCAATGCCAAGCATACGAGAGGACCACAATCCCCTCTGGGTCCTTTCGT